AATGAACGTCAGTTTGCTGCTTCTGTCTGTTTGTATCTGATTAAAGGGGCACTGTGACATCATCATCACATGATGTCACAGTGACATCATCATCACAAACGAAGAGCTCTGATGCTCTATGTTAAACGTCTGTGCAGGTGTGACTGATGTAACCTGTTTTTCACCTGCAGAAACTGACTGCAGCTGCAGCATCGCCAACAGCCATTGTGACGAGTTCAGAGTCTGCAGGTGACACTCCATCAATCAATTGATCGATCAATCAATCATCCATCACTGCCCGATCAATGTCCCGGCTGCCTGTCAGCTCGTGGCTTGTTCAGGAGGACTTTACACAGGTGTAACTCACCTGATCTGTGTTTCTGTCACAGATCTATTTTACTAACTTTCCACCTAATGTCTCCTTGCTTCCTTCCCATTTCCAGGTGTGACCCTGGCTGGGACGGCAAACTGTGCGACCGCTGCATGCCGATGCCCGGCTGCGTGCACGGTTCCTGCGAGCAGCCCTGGCAGTGCACCTGTGAGCCAGGCTGGGGAGGGCGCTTCTGCGACAAAGGTCAGAGGTCACCTGTGCATTAACGTCTGCCATCTTTCTTTTGCCATCTTTCCGTCAGTGCGTCTGAGCTCACCTGTCTCCTGCTGTCTGTCAGACCTGAACGTGTGCTCGCAGCAGCAGCCGTGTCAGAACGGAGCCACCTGTGTGATTCAGGACAGCGGCGACTTCACCTGTCTGTGCCCTCAAGGTTTCCACGGCAACAGCTGCCAGCAGAGGACCGGCCCGTGTCACCAGAGGAGGTGTGAGCTCCTCTTATGGTTCAGAGGACACACACTAACACACTCAGACGTTACCGATCAAACAACAAAGTGTTTCCTGTTTTTCCTGGAATGTTTTCAGCTGAATTTATTTTTAATAATTAGCAGAATAATTATGCTGATTAATGAGCTTAGTAATTGTCACATGACTTTTCAGCAGCAGTAAAAATAAACGACTTCAGTACATTTGACAGATTTTACTACAGTAAAGGAGAAGAGCACGTCTGTGAGGGAAGTAGCTTCAGGCGCACACACTGTTGTCGACCTGCAGACCGTAAACTGTAGAACAGATGGGCGTGGCCACTGTGACATCATTGATTTGAGCGTTTCAGTTAGCACTTTGGATGAGAGGGCGGAGCATCACATGGACACAGATTTCTGCTAATCAGTGCTCCATCCAAATAAAATCCTGAAATTGGAGCTCCGCCTTCTGGATGCTCTGTTAGTACACTAACCTCACAGCAGCCATATGATTGGCCTGATGATGTCATTAAAAGTGCTCCAACAGCACAAACACATCATGAGGTCCAGTTTAGGGACAGCTGCCTGTGTCACCGTCCACCTGTCTATCAACTAGGCCACACCCCTAATGATCCAAACTTTAAGCCTCAAAACAATGTGGGTGTTACATTTGTCTCTGACCGCTGACATGAAATCCAGATAAACTGTCAGAGTCTTCTCCCGTATATAAAACTGTGTCATCTGCATCTGTCATCTGACACTCTTCTTCTGCTCTCGTCTACTTCCTCCTCTCTTTATTCTGTAACAAAAGTTTAATACAGGTGTTATGGAGGGGATGTTATCTACAGAGCCCAGAACAGTTTGTGTATCAGGCTGTAAACACGTTAATTTCTGCTGTAAAGTTTTAACATGGGAGTCTGACTCACTGCTGCCTCTGCTGGGCGGTAGATGAACTGCAGGTTCTGGTACTTCCTGTTTATGAACCAGGCATTGATGTTTGCTGCAGTCTGCTGGTTTTCTTATCTTCCTCTTCTCTACCTGCAGGTCTCCGTGTAAAAATGGCGGTCTCTGTGAGGACGCTGACGGTTTTGCACCAGAGCTGACGTGTCGCTGCCTGGCCGGCTTCACGGGGCCGCGCTGTGAGACTGACGTTGATGACTGTCTGATGAAGCCATGTGCCAATGGCGCCACCTGTGTTGATGGGTTCAACCGCTTCTTGTGCGTTTGCCCTGTGGGATTCAGCGGGCGCTTCTGCACCGTCAACCTGGACGACTGCGCCAGTCAGCCGTGCCTGAACGGGGGCCGCTGCCTCGACCGCGCCGGCGGCTTCCACTGCGTCTGCCGGCCTGGCTTCACTGGAGACATCTGTGAGACGCCAACTAGCAGCGACGCCGGCAAACCTGGCTGGACAACGGTTGGGTGGGAGGGAGGAGGACGTAGAGGGAGGAGCCAGAGAATCACAACTAGCAGCGGCGACGGTAGGAACAGCAGCCGTCACGGTGACAGACTGCTGAAAGTGACTGTGAGCGAGCGCAGTGGCGCCGGCCTGTCAGACGTGCAGCTCATCATCGTGCTGGTGCTGGCAGGGGTGACGCTCACCATGGTGGTGCTGACCACCGCCCTTGTTCTGCAGGGTCACTGCAGGAACTGTGGACACACCTCCTGCTGGTCCTCTGTGACATCATCATCTTCACAGAGAGGACAGAAAAGCCACCAGCGAGCATGGCCGGATGAGGAGGAGGGACAAATCAGGTTTCTGAGCGCAGCAGAACCAGAAAAGAAGAAACTCAACACAGAAGTCATTTAGACTGACCGGAGGGGGCCGGGACACAGCGCCACCTGCCTCAGGTTCAGCTCCCAGCGAGCACCTGAACTATGACATCATCCATGTTGTCACAGGACGACTGAATGGACAGTTTAAACCCCACCTACATTACCCAGGGTGCACCTCTGCAGTCAGCTCAGAGGGGCTTGTCCCAGGGGCATGTGGAGGCTTTTATTTTGAAAAGGTCAATTGAAACTGAAGCTTTATTTTATAAATCAATAATTTATCAACTCTTTTCTTATAATCACTTGGAAAATAAAATTGTGCTAACTGTGAGTAGATTGACCTTTAAAAGAATCCGTCTGACATCATCAGCCCACACTCGGCCACGCCGAGCGACACAAGACAAAAGTCCAGAATTTAAATGTGGATGAAAATCAGATGGAGTCCTGACTGAGGCTTCCAGAAGTTTTCAGGTGGAGATCTGTGCTGCTTGGCTCCGCCTCTTTATTCTCAGACTGAGCAGCTTTGCATGATTCACAGTTCAGAATAATCCTCCTGTTTTAGCTTTCTTTGATTGGCCAGCTTTTAGAAAGCTGCAGCTTTCTGCCCAACATGAACTGCTAAATGAAAGTTTGGCGTCGTCGTGGGTTACTGAGTGAAGCCTGATGGGACGTGACCACAGTCTGATCTTTGAGATGAAATCTACTCACATCAAAGTGAAGTGTGAATATGTTACGACTGTATTTGTATATAACATGTTTATTTATTGTATGGTGTACATGCACGTGTGCTCCGCCCACACACACACAGCTGTCAGACCTCATCACGTTACAGGGACAAAAACGCAGACGGAAACTTCTGATGTCACTGAACAGATCCCCACACAGACATTAAAGCTGTTTCTGAACTTTACCGCTCGCCTCCTGGGTTCTTTCATGTCTGAACACTTGATGCAGCAGTCTGACTCTCCACCAGGAGGCGTCTGAGCCTGCAGGAGTCCTGATCCAAGATCCCCGAGTCAGTCTGGATCACGTGGCGGACTGAACCGTTGACCTGCAGGTAGGAGTCAGCGGCCTGGATTTGTAGCCACTGACGTGTCTTCAGGTTTAATGCTGTCTTTTCAGGCTTTTCTTAGGCAGTCATGTTGCCATGGTAACACAGGAAGGTCATTACAGTGAAGTAAAATGAAAAACCAGGGGTGGTAAAAACCATTACCATTAGAAAAAAGGAAAAACTCTTACATCCATCCATTACTTTCCACAGCCCTTTGCTACCTGCAATAGGCTCCATCCATGTGGAGCCTATTGCAGGTAGCGAAGGTATCGAAGGGCGGGAGGCGGGTACGGGTTAACACAGAGAGACAGACAACCATTCACAATTATGTCCAATTTAGAATCATGGTTAAAATAAGCCTACTGGCTGCATGTGTTTGGGAGGAGAAGCACCCACCTACTCCACACAGAAAACAGAGATGGTGGAGTCGAGGTCTTCTTGCTGTGAGGCAACAGTGCTAACCACCTCGCCACTGTGCGGCCCTAACCTCCGTAATGACAGTCGTCACGTCCTGTTGCTGCGTGCTGCTGCTGCTCTATGGCGTCTGCAGGTCTGAGCGAACCTTCACAAAGTGTTTGAGCATCTTTATCCTTCGACCGATAAAACTGAGACCAGCCAGGAAACTTACCAACACTCAGACAAAGATAAAGACTCATCAAGACCTCCTGCAGAACCACACCATACTCTCACACATTATAGTTGTTATCACATTTATTAAATAATCATGTGACTGCATCTGATTAAAATATTTGAAACTAACTGCAAGGTTTCATCAGTTCGTGTCTATGACTTTTGAAAACGCTCTTCCTCCTTCCATCTTTCGTCACTTGTGAAACTGAATTCATCAAACAGTGAAGTTTTGCGCTTCCTGGCACAGATTCACTTTGTGTGTTTACTGATATTTGGAAATTTTAATTTAAATGATCCAAAACTTTAAAGCAGTAGCTCTGTTTGTCAAGCTTTTTTGCCGTGTGCGATGAACTCCGGGGATGAGGCAAAGGGATGTGAAGAGCGTGGAGGCGGGACCACGAGGTTGATTTCAGTGCCGGATTTGTTCAGCGGGTTTCCTCACAGCATCAACAGGAAGCGTCACTGGGCTGACGAAAGACCGACTCACTTTCTGTTTTACGGATGAAACCGCTCGTCCCACTGGCCCGCTCGCTAAACTGAGATCGGTTTAAGGGCCACCTTTAAACGCCAAACATGGGAGCAAGTTTCAGACAAACTTGTTCAGTGTGTTTAAGTGTGTGCTGGCAGCAAACGACCAATCAGAGTCTTTGTTTTTAAGAAGCTGTAAACAGTTTTATTATTGTGACATCAGAACCAATCAACAGAGCCAAAGGTACATTCATTAGAAGCAGAACAAACACCTGTGTGGAGGTCACGTGACGTGTTTGAGTTCTCTGCTCGTCTGTGTTCAGGTGCTACATCGAACCATGCGGGGCGTGTGATTGGGTGCAAGCCATCAGGTGATCTGACAACCACAGAAGTGCAGTGCAGAAGAAAAATAACCCATTCAAACTGAAAAAAGTGACGGCAGCATGACTGGAAATGGGTATGTTTGTGGGAGGGGTCACATCTCAGTCTCAGCCAATAAGCTCTCACCTAGACCTGACGTCAGCAAAACCGCCTGGGTGCTGGAGTCTGTGGGGTCAAAGAATAAGACATTGAGAACTTCATGCCATAGTTCAGCACGGTTTCTCTAACCAGGACCAGCAGCTCACACCACGGCCTCCGTGCCCTTTCCAGATCACACGTTTAGATTGATTTACTTCCACTGGATCAATAAAAGTCAGTTCAAAGACTCCAGAAAAAGTTCAGGAATAAGCACAATTAGGTGGAAGTCCATTAATTCCTCTGTTTATACTGAACTGAGCTACAGGGCAACAATGAACTGTTCCTTTAAGAAAACCAACCTAAAATCTGATGTAGAAAAGGTTTAAATATGCATGATCAATCATTTGAAGCCTCGGTCACAGCGGCAGTAAGATCAATCAGTTTGTCTCAACATTTGAGAGAAAAAGACAAAAACACCTCGTTCATCTAACGACACAGTGTAGAGCGGGGGTGTCCAATTCCAGGCTTCGAGGGCCAGTGTCCTGCAGGATTTAGACGTCACCCTGGGTCTGCACACCTGAAATGATGACTTCATTACCAGGCCTCTGGAGAACTACAAGACATGTTGAGGGGGTCATTTAGCCATTTAAATAGGCTGACATGTCTAAAACCTGCAGGACACTGACCCTCGAGGCCTGGAGTTGGACACTCCTGGTGTACAGAGGCTGTTAGATTAGGTTTGTGTGCAGATTTTCTCTCCGTTTGCCAAATTTGTGGCACATTCAAATAAAATGAAGCTGCTGAACTTGCTGAAAAGCTGAAATCACACTCAGTCTAAAATTCAACTTCATTGCTGGTATGCAGTGGTTTTCAAACTTAATGACACTGTATGAAATAAAAAGCAAAGAATCTGCACTGTGTCTTTTTAAATTTGTTGCTCAGTAGTTACTGCAGCTTTTAAGAATAATTTATCTGGTCTTGACCTGACCTGAGATCAGGACAAGCTCACACTGCTGTTATGGATCACAGAGGAACCACAAAAGAACAGAAAATCTTAAAAGGGATATTAATTAATATTGATTAAATATCCATTATTGTAAAACCAAGTGGGACTAGATATGTAGCAGGTTACCCAGATTAACACTTTGTCCACAGTTATACAAAATACACACCTCCTACTGTCACCAAGGACACCTAAACACCACACAAAGGACGGCACCAGGTCTATACTCAGTATAGTGGGACAAAACCAGATCTATACCTGGCTAATTGGGACACTGGTTGATAGTGGGTAATGTTGGATAGAACCAAGTCTGTAGAGGGTATTGTGGGACACAACCAAATCTAAACTGGATAAAGTGGGCAAAACCAGGTCTATAGAGATTAATTTTCAACAGAATCAAGTTTATACTCAATGGGACAGAATCAGGTTTATATTTTTTTTAAAACACACAAACAGTGTAAAGTGACACAAAACTAGTTCTATATTGGGTCATGTAGGAAGAAAATGGTCTTGGTAAAGTAAATTATTGAGTAAAGTACAAAAGAGCCAAGTCTACACTGAATGAACTAGAACCAGGTCCATACAAGGTAAAGTGGGACAAAACAGATCTACAAAGTGGAAAAAACAGGTTCAAATTGAGTAAAGTGGGACAGAACCAGGTTTGTTTTTGGTAAATAATGAAAGAACCAGGTTCTATAGTGTGTTGAGTAGCACATAGTCATGTCTATATAAGCTAAAGTGGGAGAATTGGCTCTGTACTGAGTAAAGTAAACCTTTGACTATAGTGGATAAACTGCGACAGAACCAGATTTACATTTCGTAAAGTAGGAAAGAACCGTGTTTATAGAGATTAAAGTTTCGAAGAACTGGTTCTGTACAGATTACAGTAACAGAGAATCAGGTGTTTTTTGGGGAAAGTGGAACAGAACTGGGTTTCTAGTGGGTAAAGTGGGACAGAATCAGAGCTATACAAGGCAAAGTGGGATAGAAAAGGATATATAATAGATTAAAGTGGAAAAGAGAAATCTATAGTAGGGGAAGGGGGCAATATTGCTCTTGCCAGTAAAATAACCTGGCAAACAATCCCAGTTTGCTGGGTCTGTATTGGTTTTGTGCAGTTTGAAGGAGAGACAGTCTGAGCAGGGACACTCTGTAACTGAGGACAAGGTGAATAGTCAGCCCTTACTGCTGTGGGGTAGCCAGGCGGGAAGCTGGTACTTGTCTCTGATTGGGTGATACTTGTCTCTGATTTGCTGGAAAGCAGTGATGGAGGCAGGATCTGGCACCAGAGGCAAGGCCTCTCTGTCATCGTCATCCTCCCCCTCAGACAGCAGGTCACCGATCTGCTGCTGGAGCTCCGGACTAATGTCGTTCTCAGCCAGAACCAGGACCCGCAGGCTGGTCGGGTAGTTCTCCACCATGTCCAGGAATACCTGCACACAGGTGAGACCACCACATTATAAATCTCTTAGGAAGTGCAGCATGGCTTCAAAATAAAACTGTACAAAATGTTTAACATGACAGGGAGGACAGTGAACCTGACCCCACTCGGTCGTGACTGCAAACCATCTTTACAGTCAGGTGTGCTCCTTTGTGTTTACAGTACTGGGACGCACCAATCGCATGTGCATGCCTCTTATCCACATGTGTGGCTGAGTTGTTGTTGGACCACACAGCCAGTTTACATACATCAGTGAGAAATGCAGTTTAGCGAGGACTGAGTATTAATTACATTCTCCTGGATTTTACTCCCTGACCTTGACAAAAACAAACAAACAAACAAACATTCATAGTATTTTGAAGCTCAAGAAAGAACAGGTGATCTACCTCCACTTCCAACCACTTCAGAGCTTCTAGATATTCACTGTGTTTTTATTTATGTTATTGTCTCTGTTTATCCAGCAGTTTCACAGGCCACACACTCAGGCATTTATTGTGAAAGTAGTTGAAACAGGAAACACAGCCCTAACAAGGCCACAATGCTGCCATATCACTTCCCCCTGGTGGACAAACAAGTGAACTGAAAACTGAGTCCAAACTTAGGGTCTGGGAACAGTTTTTTGCAGGGACACAGCGCCACCACCAGGTCAGACTAAACATCACTGCAGGATGGTGGCTTTGTTCTCAGAGCGGAGGAGAAACCCTGACGGTGTGAATAAAACCAGACTGAATGATTTCCAACAGACGCTCATCTCTTCTCTTACAACTGCATTCTAGTTGTATTTAAAGAGCTGCTCTCTGCTGATGAGAACTGGAGAAAAAGAAGAGAATGGAGCACTGTGATTGGTCGACCTGTGCTGACTGGTTGGTCAGTCCGGTTCCCTCCAGGTCCAGAACCTCCAGAGTCCTGCTGGATGCCACGGCAACTGCCAGCATCCCTGCAATCTGATCACCTGGAAACAGAGCGAGAGCGTCAAACAATAATGACATCACGCTGTTATGACATCATGTTATCATGACACATGTGTTACCGAGTGGGTTGTAGTCCAGGTTGAGCACGCGGAGCTGCGAGCTGTGTGCCACAGCAATGGAGAGTCGAGCCCAGCCTTTGGAGCTGATTCCTGGGTTAGCACTGAGAGTGAGCTCCCTGAGCCCTACCACACACACACAGTGAAGAGTTAAAACTCCCAGAATGCTTTGCTGCGTGGTGGTCTGAGCAGAGCCATTCAGGTCACCCATCCATCTATTTGCTTCTGCTTGTCCTTTTCAGGGTCGCGGGGGACGCTGGAGCCTATCCCAGCTGTCATAGGGTGAGAGGCAGGGTACACCCTGGACAGGTCGCCAGTCTGTTGCAGGGCCAACACACAGGGACAGACAACCATTCACACTCACATTCACTCGCACATTCACACCTACGGGCAATTCAGTGTTTCCAGTTAACCTAACCCCACTAACTGCATGACTTTGGACTGTGGGAGGAAGCCGGAGTACCGGGAGAGAACATGCAAACTCCACACAGAAAGGTGGAATGAACTCAGGACCTTCTTGCTGTGAGGCAACAGTGCTAACCACCGTGCCACCGCGCCGCCCGCAAATTCAGGTCATGTGAGCCTGAAATAGCAAGGGTGCCTGAGGGGGATAACCCTCAGGGACCCTTGCTATTTCAGGCTTCCTCAAATCGGGAGTTTTTTTAATGAGCTTCTGTCTGTGAGAGTCGGACCAGGTTCAGGGTCACACTTGAGAGACCTGGCTCACCTGTGGTGGGAGGGCAGAAGGTGTTACCTGACTTTGCGCCGTCTGGCGGCAGCATCCCGCAGATCAGACCCAGTGCCTCGTCTCCCAGCATGCAGTCACCAAGATCCAGGCACACCAGTGAAGGGTGGGTGGACAGGGCGGGGTTCAGGGTCACTAAGCCGGCGTCCAACAGTGGGCTGCCATGAAGGCTGGAGGGGTGGAGTTAGAGACTTACAAACCATTCACAGTTAGATTAGTGGCCAATCAGCTTTAAGTTCTACTCACAACAGGGTCTGCAGGGAGCGGTTAGTCTTCAGGGCGTCAGCCAGGTGCCGCGTCCGGCCAATACTGGAGACAACGCCCAGGTTAAGGTTCAGCTGAGCAAGCGAGTGCGACTCAGCAACGCTGCGGCAGACACGCCCAAAGTCGCGATCTGAGAGCTGGCAGCCACGCACAGACAGCAGGCGCACGCCATCCTCCTTCAGACTCTCGCAGATGTCTTGAACTTCAGCCGCCGACAGCATCTCGCCTGTGATCTGGATAGAGGCAGGCAGCATTGCGGACGCCACTGGGAGCACCGGGACACCTAAACAGGAAAACGAACACTGAAACAAAAGTGTTTTCTCACCTGGTGAAACATGGGTACTGCACCAAAGTCTGCTATTGGCTAGTTTTTGGATCAGAGTTAACCCAAGTTTTCTGAACGGGACTGGGAGCCACCATTACACCTGATCAGGTGACAAAGAAACACAGATCTGACTTGAATTATTTGACTACAACTAGTTTTTCAGGATATTTCTAACTTTAGAGATGTTGCACAAATGGAAGAACGCAGTCTTACATATTTGTTTAATATGTGCGTTGAAGGACATGTCCTGGTCAAAAATGACTCCAAGGTTCCTCACAGCGTTACTGGAGGCCAAGGTAATGCCATCCAGAGTAAGAATCTGCTTAGATACCATATTTCTAAGCTTTTCAGGGCCGAGTACAATAACCTCAGTTTGATCTGAATTAAGAAGCAGAAAGTTAGCGGCCATCCAGGTCTTTATGTCTTTAAGACATTCCTGCAGTTTAACTCATTGGTGTGTGTTATCTGGCTTCATGGACAGATAGAGCTGGGTGTCATCTGCATAGCAGTGTAAATGTATGCTATGTCTTCTAATGATGCTGCCTAAGGGAAGCATGTATAATGTAAACAGAATTGGTCCTAGCACTGAACCCTGTGGAACTCCATAATTAACCTCAGTGTGTGAAGAGGACTCTCCATTTACATGCACAAACTGGAGTCTATTAGATAGATATGATACAAACCACTGCAGTGCAGTACCTGTAATACCTACAGCATGTTCTAATCGCTCTAATAGGATATTATGGTCGACAGTAGTGGTGTGCGGATTGACACTGATGTACTGATTATTCTGATAACAGACATTTATGCTCTAGAATCGATTCTCCTATTAAAATATTGATATTTTAGTCAGGCTGCCCCAGGGCAGCTGTGGCTACAACTGTAGCCTCCACCAGTGTGTGAATGTGAGAGTGAATGAATAGTGGAATTGTAAAGCGCTTTGAGGGCCCTGAAAAGTGCTTTATAAATGCAATCCATTATTATTATTATTATTATTATTATTATTATTATTTAGTAATTTTGAAAAAGAATTAGAGTTTATCATTAACAGGAACACAGTAAAAAGCAACAACATTATTGGGATCGTCTACATGATTGGTAAGAACTACTTCCTCTTCTGCCTTTCATAGCGTTATGTGAACTGCGTCACGGCTCACGTGTGCTCGCTCAGTTGATGATCGTAAGCAGAGTCACTTTTGTGGAGCTACAAACAAGCAAGATGAGGTTTGTGACACACGTGGCAGGATCACAAACCTTGTCAGACACAAAGAAAAGTAAATTATAACACAGAATGATGATGAGTTTATGATGCGGGAACTGAAAAGGAGGAGAGAGACAGGTGCTGCTAGGTTGGAGTTATCCAGGTACAGAGGGAGAAACCCTGGAGCTGACGTACGCCTGGGTTTGGGGTTTTCTGTCTGCGCTTCATCTGAAAACTATTTGTAGAGCACTGAAAGTGGATTATACAGGCTAATCGTTAAAACGCAAAATATTTCATTCATGAGACAGATATTAACTCTAAACTGTTTCTCAGCTGTATTTTCAGTCACTTTTGTTTTTCATTGTTAGATGAGTATTTTATATTGTCATATCGACTTTTCAGGGTTTTTAACTTCTTATCATTCTTCATAATTAAACGATAAGAGCAGGAAGTCTGGTTCTTGTATTTATTTTGAATGTAAAATTGGAAACTTTTTATGTCCCAAACGTGTCGGGATCTGCTCGGTCACTTGGTGGTATCGCTCATCATGGAGCGCTGCGCTGAGGCCGAGCAGGACCAGCTCAGGTGAGTCCACCTGACTGGCACTCACGAATCTTTGAGCTCAAAGAGGAGACCGGACAGGTGTCAGGTGACAGCTTAGATCACGTGACTCCTCGATGACTCCCTGATAAAGCTCCTAAACGAGAGCTGAAAATAACTGAGTACTTTTACTCGACTAAAGCAGGATTCTGAAGTTAAATTTCCACACGAGGCAGTGACCGATCAGCTGATCGGTATCGATGAGGTAACCAATTAACCTGATAGATGATCGATCAGCTCACGCGGGGAGGTTCGGGGCTGTCACGCGCTGATGTCATTATTTGCCGATCTCGCCGCAGGCCACGCGCGGGTTCCGATCCAGAGCGGCGGACATCAGAGCCGATCGATCCGGCATCGATGGATTAGATCAGCTGGAGCGCTTGTGGCAGCGGGTCTGTCCGTCGGTCCGCGAGCTCCGCCAGTCCCGGTGTGCTTCTGCAGGTGACCGTTACTATGACACCCAGAGAGCTCGCAGAGGACAGAGGACTCACTCCGAGCGCGTCACCGGGACCGGAAGCAGCGGTCACCATGGCAACAAGGCTAATGACAAAACAACAGCCTTTGACAGGAAACGTTCATGAGCTCAGCGTGAATTTCTACTGAAGCAGTAAACACAGTAATACACAGACTCTATTCAAACTAAAGGCTGGGGTTCTCTGTGACGTCAAAGAGAGACTTCGAATCCTGCTTGGAGCGAATCCTCACCCAAAATACACGAGCTTCACGACTGTGACGTCACTTCTCGCCAAGCCTCGTTTTAACCTTCTGTGATTGGCGTCGTCATGGAAACGGACACTCCTCTGATCATTGATTCTACTTACTGATTAATTATCAATGATCGATCGGCAGATTTTCACGATACAAACGAAGCCAATAAAATTGAGCCGATCACCTATTACAGCTTCCGGTGCTGACTTTCACAATAAAAGCGGAAAACTTCATGCTCTGGCGTCTTTCACCTGCACGAGCAAGGAGATATTTATAGCGTGACGTCAGCTGCCTTACTGCTTCCTGTTTATTGATGGAGTTGAATCTGTCACAGCTTCACCTTCAGTTTTATTGTGAATAAACAACAAGCCTAAGGTAGAGGGGTGATGATGTCATCGCTCGACAGGTGAGAGCTGCCGCCACAGCTGGGCCGTCTCCAATCACAGAGCCCAACCTCCGGTCTGCTGGTGTCTGCAGCTCCGGGTGATGACGTCACTCACCTGCTCCGATACCCTGTGTACCATACCCGTGTCAAAAACACGGAAATCCTGTGCGTGGAAGTTAGATAACTGAATGGGAATTCTGTTGACATCCGAGTCACATAGAAGGAGGAATTCCGTCCTCCAGTCCGTTTGAGATCAGCATGAGTATTCGGCACAGTTACACCTGTGATTATAAGGATGATTATTTACGACAGATCTGTTTACATAATGAGATTTATTTTCCACACAGAATTACGCAGTACTCCCCCCCCCCCAACCTTTATTTAAAGATTAGTACAATACAAAGTAGAATTAAACAGTATTTATTATTATTATTAAAGGTGTTGTACTTACAGAAATTGTGAACTACAAGCAAACAACATTATTTGGAACCTACACTTACACTTGAGGGAGAAGTTTTAACTGATTAAGCCAAGAAGTGAAGCGATCGAAGGATCTTGATTTTTTTTCGCATACAACCACAGCAATACTACTGCACGCAAATTTAGCTTTTGTTCACTTCTAGTCAAAGTGGCTTTGTGTAAAGCCTATGGCACACCGCTATATACTGCCCCCTTGTGGTCATCCTGCACACAATGTGGCATTTAGAAGCTACGTGTTGCTTCTGCATGCCAGAGAGAGAGAGAGAGGAATTTCCCCTCTCTCCGTGTAATATATATATAATACCCATTCACTGTGTGAAGCAGTGAGTAGGGATGGTACCCTGCTCAGGGGTACCTCAGTGGATTTGAACCCCCAACCTTCCGATCATGGGGCCAACATTCTACCTACTGAGCTAACCCAATGCATAACGCTGCAACGAGAATCCGTTGTAGGATAGAGGGGGTAGTGCCAGTCAGATGTTTGCAGCTGTGGGTTGTTTGGACTTTTAAAGGACTTTTAAGAAAGTTAATATTCAATTTTAGAGAACGACTGGATGGCTGTACATCATTTGGGCACTCACAGATCCGACAGCCTCTCTGAGAGGAACTTGACCAGTGGCGGAGCGGGGGGTGGCTTACTGGGCTTAAGCCCAGGTTGTTTTTTCAGAAGCCCGGGGTCTTTTGGAGTGTATTTTTTTCATAGTTAGATGCCTGGCTGACAACTGTATAAAACAAAAACTACACACAATATTCGAAGCACTGCGAGTGTGCTGGTGGAGAAGCGCAGCCAGGCAGACAAAGAAGAACTGAAGTTTGAGCAGGTACCAAAGCAAATCATTCGTACTGTACAAATAATGTAAATATGACGGTGCATCACGAAAGATTGATGTCAAACTGATCACTTGACCAATATTACGTTACTCGCTCTTCGAGTGAATCAACAAAAGGCGAAATGAAAAGCCGAACAACAACACTGCTGTTTCTTTAGAGAGTCTTAGCATCCATCTATCCATTCGCTTATCCTTTTCAGGGTCGCGGGGGGCGCTGGAGCCTATCCCAGCTGTCATAGGGCGAAAGGCGGGGTACACCCTGGACAGGTCGCCAGTCTGTCACAGGGCCAACACACAGGGACAGACAACCATTCACACTCACATTCATTCGCACATTCACACCTAGTGGCAATTTGGATTATCCAATCAACCTATCCCCACAAGTCTTAGCTTACATGTGTTTATTTCATATTTTCAGTTGTTTCCCTCCACGGCTAAATAAATCGGTTTCAGTAATGTACTGATATACAAGAATGGACATAAGGAGCTTCTTTCAAAGAAAAAACTCTGGTAGATGTTATTTTATATATTATGCTTTGTATGTTGTTCAGTATATTTCTATGCAAAACAAGAGGAACTTCAATACACAGCAGTATATTCACAGTTTAAACCAGATATTTACACTTTATGGAAAACACAAGAACATTTTTTTACTGTTAAACATCAATTTAGAGTAAACTTGTTTTGTTTTGGATAAATAAAT